ATAAATTCTTTATAATTTAGCCTTTAAAGCCTTTTAGATATATTTTATTAGATTTAAATTAGGGGAATATATAGGCTATTTAATTAGAATAAGCCTATATAAAAGCAACTAATCCCTTATAGCTTTGGCGATATGTATATAAGCGTTATCTTATTAAAAATTGCCAAATTTATTAGGAAAAGGAAGAAGACCTTTTATTAGGGCTTTACAATAAGACTAGCTAAAATAACCTCCTTTTTTAGACATCTTATCCCTTATTATAGAGATAATATATATCCTTTTCTTTCTAGAGATTCCTACCTAGAATATAATTAACTAATAAGCTTTTCTATAAGACTAAATATTAATAAGGTTATTATAGTATTTCTTATTAGGCTTGTAAAAGACCTAGCTATTAAGGTTATTTAAGGCGTTTTATATAGTGACTTTATTACTATAGTAAATCTATATAAGAAGGTTAGTTAAAATAACTTTATTTTTAACTAATTTATATATATATAATTATTAAGATAATAAAGCTAAAATATATAGTATTTAAGCTGCTTTTTTATATCTTCTTCTAATAGTTTAATTTATCTTTTTAATTACTATTTATAATACTAATAGCTTTATAAACGTCTCTTAAGAGTATATATAGAGATATCTAATTCTAGTTTATATAATATATTATTCTAGCTAATTTTATAATACTAATTAATATATAAATTAATCCTAATAATCTATAGAGGTATAAGTTTCTTTAGATACCCTTTTTATAGCTATAAGGCTAAGCTATAGTATTATTCTTATTATCTTTTAGTCTTTAAGATAGTCCTTTAGGTCGTTAAGAAGTTATTTATAACTTCCCTCTAAGATTTGCCGGTATATAGCTCTGCTATTATAGCTACTCTTTACTCTAAAGTAAATTTATAATTAAATTTATAATTTCTGCTTATCTTAGTACTAAAAGACTGATTTCCTAAAGTTATTTTTTATTATTTAATTGCTAATTGAAGAAGTTATAATAGTTCTGTTATGCTATGTTGAAAGCGGGGTAGCATCGGGGTGATTCCAGACTTTTAGTATATAATTATAATATATACTTACTTATAAAGTATAATAATAATAATAAATAAATAACTTAAAAGACTTTCTTATTATAGCTTTAATATTAAATTCTTTATATAATTAGCTAGGATTAATATTAATTTAACCTTAATTAAATTAATTTTTAGCTTATAATACTAAGTTATTATAATATAAATATATAAGAATAAACTAGAAACAGATATAAATATATAAAATAATTAAAAATATATAATAATTAAAAATAAATAAGTAAGGCCTATTATCTTTATTAGAAAGATATTTAATATATTATAATTAAGTATATATTTCTTATATCTTAGTTTTAATTAAAAGAAAGGATTCTTATAAACTATTTAAGAAAGTTATTACTAGTAAATATATATTATAAATTATATATATTATGCCCTTTTACTAATTATATATCTTATTATAAATTTAATTAACCCTAATATAAATAAAGTCTACTTCTACTATAAATAAAGTCTATTTATTATAAAATTAAATTCTACTCCCTTATAAAAATTAGTCCTACTTTAAGTTATTTAATATAAAACAAATAAATACTATATAAAATTAATTTTAATATAAAGTATTAGAAAAGTATATTTTATATATTATATTCTTAAGCAGAACTATTCCTAGTAATAATTAAGTTCTATTTACAGTAGATAATACAGATTTTGGCTTGCTAATATGTGCTATTAGTGAGGTTTCCTATTAAACCGAATAGGCTGTAACTAATAATATTAATTAATCTAACTGAATTACTTGCAGCATTTTAGAGAATGCGCTGCTTTATTCCTATTTAAGAGCCAGCTTATTAGGTAACTAAGCCAATTTGGGAAACGCGGTGCATTTCATCTAAACACATAGCAAAATAACCCTTCTGCAGTTTAATATTTCCTATCTCTTTAAGACAAGCCAAGGATGTCTAGTCTGGTCGATATTTGGCCAATAATTAATTAAGCATTAATTATCACACCCTAGTCAATATAAGATACGGCCAAACCAATTAACCAACCAACCAATTAACCAAGCTTAAGATGTGTTTTTGGCTTTAGCACGGTCTGTTTCGAATTAAAGCTGTAAGCTAATGCGGTTAGCGTAGCGGAAGATCTATAGCCATTACCCGGTTATTTTTCTTAAAACGCATTAAGGTTATAGTAATACTAAGTATATAGATCCTTTGTATAAGGAGATCCTTATAGGTTTATAACCCTTAATTAGGGAACAGAGCATTATTTACTTAATTATAGGAGCTAATACTCCTAAAGATTCGGCCTAGGCTTTATGCAGCTATCTGGGAATATAAATAAAAAAGCTTAAAAGGAGATATATAAAATATAAATATAATATAAATATGTATATTTATGTATTAATTTATTAACTAGATATAAATCTTAAAACGTTTTAATATTTACAAGCGCTCTGTATCCTTAGCCGAATATTAAGATTATAGGCTTTAAACGTGTCCAAGGTAAAAGATAAGCTTTGGAAACCCTACCAAATACCAGATCAGCTTCCCCTATTAAGTATATCCATCGCCTCTCGCCACTTTAAATCTCATTCATAATACGTACTAAGCGTAATGCAATTAACCAGGTTCCTCGAAGTCTGTTTTATATACTAGTAATAAAAGTTTTATATAATTACTTATAACTTATTCTATTATAAACAATCCTTAGAGTAAGCATTAGCTTATCTAATATTATATAAATCATTACTAGGGTTAGGTAATTAAAGCTATAACTACTAATTTATAATAATTTCTTATCTTAAATAATTAATATAGGAAAGGTTATATTGTCTAAGTATCTAATATGCCCAATTTGCTATATAAGTAAGTTCTAGAAGACTTTCTAATCTATATGCTTTTACTTAATATTAAAACAAATAAATGCTATTTGAAAACTTTATTACGTAGTCTGGTGCAAGATTGCAAGAATATGTCTGATTAACCTGATGTGTCCTGGGACCAGCCCTAACTAACATCTCGTGTTGGCGATGCAGCCAAACTCCAAAATCGCTTTCTCGATGCATTCGCTTATTTCTCAGCACACTATTCATTCGGCTTCAACCCCACTTCAACATTCCTCTTGTCGACAATGCCCTGCCCCTGAGGTACCAAATTCTGAGCCATTGAAGGACGTCTAAACGCGTTGGGCTCTTGGCTAGTCTTAACAGCGACAGCTGAGGAAAATTAGTATGGTAAATTGGTTATGCGGCGTGAGTGAGGAACTTACCAGCTACTGAGGCAGCGACGAGTACCATTGGAAGGGCTTTGGAGACGCGTGCCATGCGCGAGACGGCTGGGGCTGGTTGAGCCGGGAAATCGAAGGGAGGAAGAGGTCCGCCGAATGAATTAGTTGTCATGATGATGGTTGGAGTTTGTGAAGTAGCTGTATTGTTGTGCAAAAGGCTCTGTTGATGCAGTGATTGTTGATGCAGATGAATTGATGAACTGATTGAATTGAGTTGAATAGACCAATCTTTTATATCAATTCCCATCCCCCGTTTCCAATGTCTTGCATTGTTAGTCGGCACGTCCCGTTAGCGCAAAGTCAGATCACCAAACCCCTAATGTTTCCAGGTGAGATCTGAAGCTGGCCAGATTCGTCACATTCTGGTGCCGGAAGTGGCGTGGACTGTGGGGCCATGAACTGCTTTTCCCCCGTGCCTTGAGTGTAATATGTGTAATATGTCTGCTGATACATTTATGTGTTTTGCATTATTTGCAAGATACTGCCAATGGCAGTACGGCATGATACAGATTGGTTTGAGATGCGCGGGGAATAGAGCTATAGTTTAAAAATGGCTTTGTTTTGGAGCGTAGATTATATTTACCGCATCTCGGGGCGTTTCAGATTATCCGAGCGCTGCAGATCTTGTTTTACTATATTTATTTATTACACTAAGCAATCTATAAAAAGGATATGAAGTAGTTATATTAATAATCCCAAAATTTAAACAATATACAAATCTAATACTTACTAATAAGACTAACGCGAGAATAGTCCGGACTGAAAACCCTCAGTCGATTCTATTCCGACTTTTTGCGATTCGTCATTTCCTCCGCACAATCTCTCCGCGGGGATGGAGGCACCTAATTTTAAAATCGCCAACCCCCTGTGATCGCTAATCTAACGCACTTTCCAGGGCGTCGGTGGCCAATTGAGGTGGTACAATTGCCAATCTACCAGATGATGCGCATAGACACACACATGAGCTTTGCGAGTTCCTTATCAGACTGAAACGCGTGATGTTCTGTGTTCTTTGCGGAGCCATTATGGTCCAATGTCCTCGGTGTATTCTTCTTAATGGCAACACCTAATTATAGGTAATCGTAAATAGCTCAAACATGTTCTTGACATATTACTATTCCAATGCGCGACATGTTTTACTCACCGACTCGTTTTTTATAGAACCAGGGACTCACCGAATTAGCGCCCGCGGTTAGTGCCTCATTCTCGAAGCTCTGGGGCCGCGGAAAGAACATGCGACTTTGAACTTAAGCTTACTAGGGTATTAACTGGGGCTTTGATGATAGCAAAAATAGTTGTGGAGGCGTTGGTGGATCTTGAGATAAGTGTTTCCTAAGGCAATTCTAGGGGTTAACTGATGTAGTAGACTGCAAGCTGCAGCAGAGCCTCAAACAGTCTGAGGGAAACAGGTTTATGCAAAGGATCTTAACAACTAAAAGCCTTGACAATTTGATACACTTGCAACCATTATTCTACACCATATATGTGATATTCTACCGGTTCGTATCAAAACATCCGCCCTAACTCTTGACAGCATCTTTCCCTTTAAAGTCTCCTAATCTATGCCGACAGCACACCCCAAGCCACAGCAGCTAGTTCTAAAGTTGCTCTCGGGTACGACACTTAATAAACTTTCTCTCCCTTTCTATTAAAGATCTCCTGGATAAATGCTTTACGACTTCCACCACGAAACAAGGGATACAAATCACTTGCAAGCAGATATTTAAGATACACAGCATTCTCGGCAGTATTAATACCCTAAATGCCCTAGGACATCTAGTACTCTATCCTAAGAAGATTTTAGCAATACCCTTTTGTAGATTTTGCCACTGAATGGACATCGCCCCATCCTCGTTGCTCATGAAATCAAAAGAAAAAGAATCTGCGGAGTTAACTGCTGGAAATGAACCAGGCATTGAGTCTGCCGCGGATCTTTCGCCAATGGGACTGAAGGTGTTTGAGGATGCAATTGAAGGCGATTCAACCAGTGTCTCTCCATCATCCGCATTCTGAGATGTGATACTCAACTCAGGTATAATTTTAGGCGGTGGTTCGAGAAATTTACTCTGGCCCTCTCGTCTCTTCAGTTCCCCGGCTGTCATGGTTGCTTTGAGAAGGGAGGCTACTGTTTCTACTCTGGAACTCAAATCATGAACTTGAGAGGCTTGGCCAGATGGAGTACATGGCCGCGAAACGCTTCGTGCTGGCAACCGCGGACTTCGTCGTGGACCACTCTCCGGAGTTGCACCTCCTCCATAGTTGAGGCTCAATTCCTCGAGTCTCTCGGCAATGATATGGTCCACCTCTCTGGCAATTGTCTCGCGCTCGGTTGACGACAGTGCACTCTTCGAGAGTTCCATTTTCTGCTTTCGACGTGTCATTGCCGAGTGTGCAGAGTCGGTGCCGACATCGGAGTAGACATAGCTCCATTGATCAATATATGTGGTGATCAATGACTTGAACACCCGCGTAGCCCATGTATATGTGTTTTCAAGTATGAGACGAAATTTGATAATATCGTGAGGATCAGTCATATCTCCCTCCCATATACATTGCATCATCTAATAAGAATAATCAGTATATTTCAGCTTTGCAATCGTAATTTGTACTTACATAACCTTGACTGCATCTCTGAAAGGACTGTTCGGCGTAATCCTCGTCGACGTAGTAATACCCCATAAAGTCTTTGGCGAAATACGTTATCCAGACCTTGACTTCCGGCCCAACTGTAGTCACCGCTGGGATAGGGGGAATATGTGCCTCCTTATCTAACTCAACAGCATACTTTGCGGCGATCTGGTTTAGTCTGACGGCACATCCACTGCCGTTAACTGCTTGGCAGTAAACCTCTTCCTTCATCCTTTCGGAGTTTGTCTGCTTATGCTTGTGTTCAACAACAAGCCATGGATAACAATTCATGTCATTTTCTAGCGGTTGGCGTTTCTTGAAAGCATGGAAGGGAGAGGGTCGCAAGCCATGTCCATAAAGCCTCTTTAACTTAGACCATGAGAATGATTCTACTAGGGATGGCGTTGGTGCTTTATGCCACTCCAGGCCTGTGTGATCGGTTGGTCCAGGAATATGGGATTTGGCTGTCAGATGGTACATCGGAAAATAGAAAGCGTGGTCGGGTGACGGGCGTTTCTTGTTCCTAAACTGATCAGGCATTGAATCGCCAAGTGCATTGCCCCTCTTGTCAAATGTTACCCAAGCAGCTTTAGATGTGCTAATTGTTTCCTGTAAGCCTCAAGCTATCACATTCATTTTCGAACTACTTACGCTACTATGGCGTCATAGTAATAGTTGCATCGTGACACTCTGGAAGGCCACTTGTTAGCAAACAGTCTTTAAATAGAAATTCGAAACTGACCTGCGAGAGCCTTCTTGTGAGACTGAGACGTCCTTTACGAGAATGTCAAAGAAGTACTTTCGAAAAAAGTTCTCCCAATTGTCTTCGGAGTACTTCCCTTCTTCAAGTTTCTTAGCCAACCTTTTGATTTCATCCTTGGCTGTGAGTCAGATATATTTGCAGATGAACCTTGTGACGAAAGTCTAGTCTTCTCACTCACGGTTAGTTCGGCCTCGTGCTTTCTTTGAGAAGCCAAGTCAAAGGCAAAGTCAAGCATTGACTCTCTAAGGGCTTCAACATGGGATGGCAACGGGTCTCTTGGTGGGCGGCTGTCCTCATCATAGAAAAAGCCCCTCTGAGATAAATCAAGGCGGTCCCAAGATTCGTTTTCTGTGGATTGGGTAGCCATCGTGGGCAGTCGGAGAGATTACGTTGAAAGATGGGAAAAGGACATGTTGGCCGAGAGCTTTCTTCTGTACATATATGCATGACAAGGTAACATCTGTTGGTTGAGATATCTACATCCCTGCTCGCGTGTCTCAGAATGCCTGCCCACTGGTCAGCTTACCCTCACCAAGGTGCAGATCAATTCAAATATCACTCATCACGCGTAGGCTCTTCCAGTAATTCAAGTCCCACGCATTGGATTCCTTGGTCGAGTTCAATCGATTGGTATCCCCTAGTTATAATGGATGTAATCTTCAGTTAACTGAGCCTAAAATTATCCTTACGGACCTGTAGACGAACTGCCTCTGGCAGGGCCCCTGGTAGCTGAGGCAAGCGATAAATGAGCTGAAACAAGGATCAACCAAGTGAGCGAATCAAAGGACTTCTGCTTCTCGAAGACTAAGCCTTAATAGTAAGGTCTGGATTCCCCGCCATCTGTCCCGAGTTTAGCGTCCAAAATGGCCCTCAGCCTTAAGTCTCGAGAATCTGCAAGGGAGATTACGACTTACTGATAGCGGGTAACTTCTTCCTAGATTTCGATTAAAAATAGGAGAAACGATATTTCATAGGATACTGACGTTGATTGTAAGCGGTTGTTGCCTAGTTAAAGATAAAGGAAACTTGGACATCCCTCTGGTAGATTGGTCAATATGCAGATTTGGCAGCTAAAATGACTCCACAGCCCTGTTCCAGTTTATTAACTCCATAAGGTACTCGGCAAAAAACAAACCCACTAATGGAACTGGATAAATTTGTGAATGGTTCTTTCCTCTGAGTAGATGTTGCCTAACAGTGATACCCCCAAAGGGCCTTAAGATATCCAGAACTTTTGTATCCCAGGCATCTTCACTGCTTAACGACATTGGCCACGCGAGAAGATCATCTAGATCCCATTGAGGAATACTTTCCACAGACTTCCACGCCTGACTGTGCGTTTGAGATAATGCCAGAATACAGTCACTATATCCTAATCACATTGCTTTTCGACAGAGCAGACTGCGATAGGACTAAAACTAGTAATGCAAATCCTAGCATGATTGTGAAAGTCACCGCCATCTAACAAAGCAGCACTGTTAGTTAGATGTAGGGTTATGTAAAGAACACCACTTGCCTTGGAGTTGCTATCCCACCACCCGTCTTCTCTAGGTTTTGAAGGACCGAATTCAGTACCAGCCCATATCAGAATGGTCAAACCGATTACCATGCAAAATATCGCCAAGACCAGAAACGCGAGGCTAAATTCCCATGCATAGACTTGCAGCCAGCTAGGGCGAACTTTATGATCAGATTGTCGCTTTCGAACGAGGCTATGTCGGATCATGCTTAGACCGTCAGGATGGGCTGACAAACGGTGAAGGCGCATGCTTTGTACCCCTGCGATTACTACGGAGAAGAGGGCGAAGACGAGGCCACTGAACCACATAGTTCGCACCGACCAGGGCTTGTTGCAACCATTGGGAAGGACATCCGGCCAAGAGCTCGTTGAGCTGAGGCAGCTTGCGAGGAGAGCACCCTTCTACGAGTCAGCAGTTATTAGGCGAGAAGGATATAAAACATACAAGTGTTCCGACAAAGTTTAGTTCCTGGAGCTTATGGTCACGCCAGTTCTGGGTCATTTCGTCTTTCTGATTCTGATCATCTTCATTCAACATCTGGATAATAGTGTCGCAGGCTGTCGAGTTCCTGCCGAAGAAACCAAAGTCAAACATGATAGCAAATATAGTTCTAGTCCATGTCAGTCTAATTATAAAGTCCCGTCATTGGCCGTGAATTACTTACTCACGCTTTTATATCTCTTCTGGCTGCTTAAGAAATTATAAACAGTAATTTGTAATGAAGATTGTAAATAACAGGAATGAGGCAAACGCGGGGAAGGGCGTAGATTTACTCTATTACTTAAAGGCGGGGAAAAGATCCTGCTTTGCTATAGGGCTAGCCAGGGTAGGCATATATGTCGTCATAAGTCTGTAATCTTAACCTTATGTAAAACTGATAAAATAAAAAATAGCAAAGTACTCGTTCCTTTGCTTATATATTACATAGACGAAAATATATATTAAGCTATTAGGAAATATATATCTAGTTTTATTTAAATACTAAAAGTTTTTAGGTTGTTTATTTTTAATACTAGGGTAGGAAGGAATACTAAAATCTAGTATTAATAAAATAAAAATAAATAATATATTTTACTATTTAAGAACTTCTATTTATTAAAAGATTATTATTTAATTTAAAGTATTTATATATTATAAATTATAAGACATACCTAAAGCTAATATTTATATATATAAAGCCCTTAATATCTTTATATAATCCTTTTAAGTACTTTTAATTATAAACCCTTACCTACTTAGGTTAGTTATTACTTAATATTCTAGCTTATAATTTTACTTTTATAGCTAATATAATAATACTTATTATATAAAGGCTAGTAGATTTCTTTCCTTTTCTAGTTAGCTTTATGTTTCTTTATAGTTTTTTTAAAGCTAGTATTATTATAAGCTAGGCAAGGATAAATATAGCTATTATTAATATTATAATAGCTAGGCTAATTATTTTTAGCTTACTTAACTTTAATAAGAGTATTAATAATATTCTTATAGGTTTAATTAGTAATTTACTAGTTTATAATAATAGTGCCTTTTAGTAATTATTTACTATTATATGTTTAACTTAGTTATTATATTATTAAGTAATTATTTTTACTAAGTATTATAATCTTAATAGTTATATTATATATACTTTATACATTTTACTACTTATATATAATTATTATAAATTAAGTAACTCTATATATATAACTAAGTTATAAGTATAATAAATATAAGAAAACTATTAATAACTTATACTTTTTTATATTTTTAATTATATACTACTTAATAAGACTTATAATATAACTTCTAACTTATATATAAGTATTAACTTATTATTATAAGTTATTATAAATATATAAATTATTAATAATAATAGTAAATAATAATAATAAGTATTAAAAAATCTTAACTTATAACTAAGAGGATTAATATAAATTAATATAAAGTAAAGACTTTATTACCTTTAAAAGGGGTATAATATAAATAGAAAAGAGGCTAAAAATAAAAAATAGAAATCCAAAGTATCCTTAAAAGGTAAGATCTATATAAGGAAGAAATATTATAAGCTAGCTAAAACTAACTTAAAAATATTTTAAAAGAATATTAAATATATAATAAACTATTTAAAAAAGAACTAGAAATAGAAGTCCTTAAATATAATTAATAAAATTATAAAATTAAACTTATAAATAAAAACTTATTATTTTAAAAAACATATTTATTAAATTAAAAAGAATAAAAAGTCTAATAATAACATATTAATAAAATATTTTAAAAAAGATATATTAAATAATTAACCTTATTAATAAGATTAGTAATATTTTTTCTATTAAAGAAGAATAAAAAGCTATAACTTATTATAGATTATAAAGGAGTTAATATATAAACTATTAAAGATTAAATCTTATTTTAATTTATAATAATACTTAAGGATTAAATATAAGGTAAAAATATCTTTATTACTTTAAATTTAAAAGAAATATATAATTTTATTTATATTAAAAGAAAATAGTATTTAAAACTAGATTTAAATTATTTAAATACCTAGTAATGCCTTTTAGTCTTATTAATATATTTATAATATTTTAATAAATAATTAATAATATACTTTAATAATACCTAAATATCTTTATAATATATTACCTTAATAATATCTTAATCTTCTTAAATAATAAAAAAGAATATATAAAATATATTTATAAAGTTTTAAAATTATTATAAAATACTAAGCTATTAATTAAATTAAAAAATAGTTATTTTTATAATATAAAGGTAGACCTTTTAAGATATATTACTATATTTAAAGAAATTTAAATTAAAATAAATAAAGTATTTATAATAATAAAATAAAAAGAACCTAAAAATATTAAAGAAATATAAGCCTTTTTAGGCTTTATTAACTATTATAAATAATTTATTAAAGACTTTAATAAAATTATAAATTCCTTAATAAAACTTATAAAAAAGAATAAAGTATTTATATAAAATAATAAGGCCTAATAAGCTTTTAATAAACTTAAGTAAGTAATCTTTAATAAACTTATATTAATAATATTTAACCTAGATAAAGAAATTAAATTAAAAATAAATATATTAAATTTTACCTTAAAAAGGTAAATTAATTAGTAAAATAATATAAGGAAATTATACCTTATTACCTTTTATTTATATAAATTATATAAAGTAAAATATAATTATTTAATTTATAATAAAGAATTCTTAATAATTATTAACTACTTTAAGGAGTTTAAATATTACTTAATAAGAAGTAAATACTAAGTTAAGGTTTATATTAATTACTAAAATATTTTATATTTTATTATAACTTATAAACTTAATTAATAATAATTATATTATATAAAATACCTATATAAGTGTAATTTTATAATTATTTATTATAAAGGATTTAAAAATAAAAAAGTAAATATAATTAATTAATAATTAGATTATAATATTAATATTATTAAAGTAAAAACATAAGTATTAAAAAGAAAATAAAAAGAAAATATTAATTTATTTAAAAAATATAAACTTTAAAATAAATATAAGTAAAAGTAACTAAGGAAATACTAAGAAAACTATAAAAGTTTATTTAAGAATTTTATATATATTTATTATATAAATATTAAAAAGTTATTAGAACCTTAAAATAATTATTATAATAAGATTATTAAATAATATAAAAGATAGTAAAAAAGGTTATTAAATAATATAATATTTATATTAAAATAAAAGTATAATAATATAAACCTTCATTAATGCCGTCTCACTTTTGCTTGAGCATGGTGCTGACCCCGCTCAAAGAAATCTGAAAGAAGATAATGCTCTTCACAGAGCTGCTTGTGGTGTCTGTCTGGCAAATCGAGTTGAGGAAACAACGGAAATGCCAGAGGATATGATAGCCAGGCTGGTAAAAGCTGGAGGGGCGGAGTTGATAGATCTACCAAACACGATAGACAGACTGCATGACAGATATATCAAGAGCGGAATGATGAATAGATGAAGGATAAAGAAGTGTGAGATGTAGGCTATGGTTGAGGAAGGAGTGGGGGACGGGGCGGAAGGGGAGGTAGCAGAAGGGGAGGATAGCGTCGTGGATTAGGGGTATTTCCAATAGACTGACAAACAGAGGTGAAAAGTATATTTCTACACGAAGGCTGAATTAAGCTTTTCTAGTCTGCTTTAAGCTTTCAGTATTCTAGTTATCTAGTATAAATCGATTGTTTTATTGATTCAGATTATATGGTTTTCCAGAGTTTTTATAAATGGGTTGCCATGATCGATTTTATTAAGATTAGATAACAATAATTAAAACAAACAATAAGATATAAACTTTGCAATAGTTGATCCATGTTAGTTTGAAATCGGAAGATTACTTACTACAATTGGCAAAAGTCTTTTTTTTTCTCTCACCCTAGAAGTTCTGAGGTTTATCTTCAAGTCCATTGGATGTTTATGTGTCATCGGGGCCTTGCCGGGGCTTACTGTGCTGCAAAATGCACGCCCGAAACCGCACTGGTAGAGAGAAGGCAGTGTTTGGCAGGAAGACGCAAGAGGCTGGGTGCAGATGGGCTACTCGCAAGCCGAGATCAGTAAGTATGTCCAAGGAAGTGTCGAGTTATCGTGGTGGAGAGATTGGCTTCTTTTCGTATGCGGGCTTTCAATCACGTTTATAGGCAGAGTCACTCGTCGACATTTAATAGGTGATATTTGAACAATGTTCTTATTCCATTATAATCCCATACCTCCAACTACCGCCTTAAATCCTAAGCTCCTACGCAGACCCAATAATCCTTCCACAAACCTGTACATTTCGCACCAACCGTGGGGTTCCACTTCGCAATCTGAGCCATTGTGATCTTATAGTACTTTTGAATAGAGTCGCAAGTTGTAGTTGCTTTCACCATGTGGAACTTTTTACAACTCCTGATCATCCCCGGTATGAAAGGCGTAGGGGTTGTGTCTTGCTTAGGAGGCTGGGTGGGCGTCTGTCCAATAACTCCAACACATACATTGTAACTAACCAGTAGAGCATTACACGACGAGCCCACTTTAGGGTTCCATTTGGCTAGCTGCTCCATGGTGATCTTGTAGTAGTCTTGGATAGATGCACATGTAGTTGTCTTCTTGACCTCGTGGAATTTGTTGCAGTTTGTGACCATTCCTGCTTGGATTGGTGATGGTGTTTTGATACCGTTACTAGGAGTGGTAGGGGATGGCTTAGGAGGGCTCCAGCCAACAATTGAGACGCAGACCCAGTGATCGGCTAGGAGAGATTGACAGTTGGTGCCCACGCTAGGGTTCCAAGAGTAAAAGTCCTTCAAAGGCAGGTTATAGTAGTTATTAATTGAGGCACATGTTGTTGTCTTTTGTACCTGGTGAAACTTGTTGCAATTCTTGTGTATACCATCCTGGATTGGCGACGGGGTCTTAATCCCGTTGCTCGGTGACGTCGGCGACGGCGTAGGCTTGTAGTCGTCTGTCATGACGCAAACCCAATATTCTGCTAACAGAGACTGACAGTTTTTGCCAACGCCAGGGTTCCACTCAAGGAACTTGGCTAGGGGCAACTTATAGTAATTCTCAATGGAGTTGCAAGTTGTCGTCGTTTTTACAAGATGAAATTTGACGCAGTTTTTGACCATGCCTCCCTGAATAGGAGACGGGGTCTCGATTCCATTGGTAGGCGTAGGCTTGGTTGGTGACGGTGTATGTCCAATGACCGATACGCAGATCCAGACATTAGCCCAGAGGCCTCCACAGTCTGCATTAACGGATGGGTTCCATTTGTAGATATCTGCAGCAGTGATTCCGTTGGCTTTGGCGAGAGAGTCACAGTTTTGTCCCTTTTGAACGAAATCGAACTTGTCGCAGTTCTTGACCATATCTGGTTGTGTTGGTGATGGTGTCTCGACGCCATTGGTAGGACTTGTCTTAGAGGTAGTTGTAGTGGTGGGCTTCAGAGTAGTACCTCCCTTATCATGTCCCACGACACTAACGCAGACCCAGACACTGGACCACAAGCCGCTGCAGTCATCCTTGACGGAGGGGTTCCAAGCCGTGAGTTGCTTCAGCGTGATGCCGTTCTTGGAAAGGACGTTGGAACACGACATGCCCTTCTCGACAAAGTCAAAGGCATCGCAGTTGTTCACCATGTCTGGTTGCGTTGGGGTGGGGGTCTGGATGCCCTTGGTAGGACTGCTTCCACTAGGTGTTGTCTTAGTTGGGCCGTTTGTGGCGACTGGCTCGTCAATAGCCTCGACACAGTAAGACCAGCCACTGAGGAAGTTGCTACACCCAGGGCCAAGCCCAGGGTTCTGAGATATCAGCATTGTAGTCGTGAAAAGAGTTGCATCAACATACCCAGCGAAGTAATTCGTCCATAGTAATCAGGTATGGTTCGAGTATGTCTTGGCAAGGGACTGAGCCATCATTGTCGTACCAGTAACTGCAGTACTTGGAAGTATCTTGATGCGTTGGATACTTGGGCGATAGGCCCATCAGCTTGATCGGCTGTTCCTTAGGGGCGGTTTCATTCTTGAACTGGCGAGGGATTGTTTTTGCAGCTGCATCTTGGGCCACAAAGAAAAGTGAAACAACAGCCAAAGGGCCTAGAGCCTAATTCAGCTTGGCCATGATGAAGTGAGTAACCAAGGAACTGGATTAATGATGGATGGTTAAATGCTTCCATGGCAGCAGAAAAGACATGACTATTATAGTTACGCTGGTGTATATCTTGTGCTGGCATCAGGTTATGACCTGATGTATCTTTCTATTGATCCAAGTACTAGTACATTGTTCGTCCTGCCTAGATAAACTTAGTGTTACTTCCTATCTGGCCATGCCTTTCAGCCGCAGTACGGTATGTCGCAGATCCGTGTCTTCAACACATGGCAATGGAAGATTTCTTCACAGCCGAATGGTAACCTGTGTTGGTTCTGAAAACGTTCTGCTTCCTTCAATGCGCCACTACGGCACGCTTGCAGGGGAAACTGCAGGGACCAAGCATGGGTTTGGAGGTAGCGTCGCTTATTAGAGGAATTAATTGTCCGGAGTGTGGACCCAACCGCAGAATTTAGTACCACTTTGTGCAAACAAGTTGGGCAGAGAATATTGAATACCTAGATATGGCTTAGCCCACTGGTCCGTTTGGTGCATCAGGGTTCCAGTCTTCTGGGCCTTCCTCATCTTCTCTGTACAGCTGCCAATTCCGCGACACAGGTCCGCCATACCGAACAAAGCCTTCCGGTGTTTGTTCCACCAAACTTGCTGTGTTCTGATAGCCCTCGCGTTCCTCAGCACTAATAAGACACTGTCCAGCTAACCTTTCATTACGTATTAGCATAGGCTGCTTTTTGGGGTACGTTTTGGACCACTCTGTGTATTCGAATATGCCATGGTCTGGCATCAATGCTTTGCCGCAAGTCCAAGCTGTAGGTAATCTTGCGCCTATAGTTAGCGTTCTCCATGGCCGCCCCCCAGCTATACCGATATAGTCTCTTTTATCCAGGACTACAAATGCCTCCCCATTTCTCATCCGGATATAGTGAGCCGGAGTGTGACTGAGGCCCGCCAGCCATGTCACTGGGAATGCCCATGTATTGGTGTCACGGGCCTGTTTTCCTACGTTGCAGCGCAGGAAAGTCCGATATATGGACTTGTCAGACTCGCCACCTGATGGCGAGACTCCCAAAACTGTAATCTTGGCGGGGGATGATGTCTCCGGTAGCGTGTCTACCTGCTGTAACCCATGGACCAACGAGTGCCAGGTTGATAAAGGCCGAGGCTGATGCAAATCTGCCCACTCATTATTTTCAATGCACACCAAGTGGAGACTCTGTAGGTGCGGTAGGCTGATGGGATGGAAGACCTTGTCTTTGTCCCACGTGCCTAGCATTGCATCGCATACAGGGTCCAAATTGATGTGAACGTGCTGCAAACGCGGCAACAGGCGTCGCAGATCCTCGCACAGATGCGTGGGGTCTGGGTCGGGGTTGCTACCATTTATGTCTCCCACCGCAAGTTCCAGACTAATGCAACTTTCAGGGAGGCTTTTGAGTAAGGACGAAATGGTTGATCTCGTAGTCTTGTAGAGTTGAGCTTCTGACCAGGGCTTGGGAGGGTTTCTCATAGTTCGATGATGTCGTATAAGGGAGAATGACTTGAGATTAGCCATAGACGGGATAACATTTGCCAATTGCGGGATTAGTAATTCCGCTTTGTCCCATTTGGCTTTGTCCAGTCGATCTGACTGATCGTCATGGTTGAGGTACAGTGTAAAAGACTGTGTTAGGGTGAGAGCTTGCTGATTGTTGCATGCTATGAAGCGATCTAGCGACTGGCCACAGGACAATACCAAGTCGCGATAAAGTATTGGCAGGGAAGTATCTCGCCACAGTTGATTAACCAACAAGCAAGTGATAACAGCATCCCTGGAGTCATTACCAGCATAATTCATCACCTTGCCGAGGACTTCGGTTGGGAGAGCGCTAATTTTGACAGCCATGGGAAAAGAAAAGAGCATGCGCACGGATGTGGATGGAAGCGAGGGTTAGGATAAAAGGGTAAGCGGGAAGTCCAAAGTCCGTTCGGGCCGGGAGCAGTAAGCATCTTAAATAAACATCATGCACCACCTTGGCACTGCGGGGAACAGGGGTAGATGTTGTTTACTCAACCAACATACTTTACAAACACCAGGGGGCAGGTACTTTTGCAGGCATATTCATATCAGACCACCAACAGGTAGAATGAAGATGCAGGAACGAAATGTTCCATCAATTAAACGGACACATGTGATTCCTGTTTGAAAGAGGAAAGAATTTCTAAACCGAATCCGATTTGTATTACGGCGGCGATTTGAGAGTCGATAACCGATTGTTATTCATGATATAAAGAACGTTTAAGAAAAGCAGTATAAAACTCTGACCTATTGAGAATACAGACTTTAATGAATGAAGGTTATCCTCGAGAAAATTCCACTACGGCTCCATATGTAGTTTCCATGTGATCTCCATACTAAGATTTGCTACCTTAACGATGCAGAAGGGATAGAGGGGATCACATCGTCTTCTAAGTACACTTTCCGAACTCTGGTTGACTGATTGTAGAAAAGATCATGTTAGAAATACATCCTATTGGGAAATGTTGTCAACTTACCAGCCTAGATATTTATCACAATGATACTCATCGTCTCCGCAGTAGCCGGCAGCCGAGCAGCAGTCGTCGAATTTAGAGCCTTTGCATGTAAAGCCGCTATTGTAGGCACAATCCCCATTTGTAGAGATGGAGAGCGGCGCCTTTGTCGCCGATGGTTTCGCTGTGATGGATGAAGTCCTTACTGTACCGCCCGAACAGTTGCCGTCTTGACAGTTGTCGCCACAAAATTCCTTACTGGAGCCACACCTATTAAGTTAGAGCAGCACCCAAATAAGAACGGGGAACATCAACTTACTTTCCCTCGAGGCCACAGCAGTCGCCGAAGTCACTTCCGACGCACGTCTTGGAGAAGTTGATCTTATCACCACAATTACCATCTTCAGTGACGTTACGTGGTACATTGAAAGCTTGAAGCAAACGCATGTTAATATGGTTAGAAATGAAACTTCTGGAGGCCCATACTAACCAACACAATAGGTCTCCCCAGGCACGAAACCATCACATGCATCCCCGATGGTGGGGTTCGCAAGCATGAATTCTTTCAGCGTCAGTTGGAATTGGGCAAGGACATCGTCGCATCCCGTCCAAACGTCGGTCTTGAACTTCTGGCGACAATCCACTGCTTTATCATTCGGTAGGTGGGTGTTAACCGAACGGTGCAAAAGGTGTGAAAGGTCAAGGCTTTCCGTGACAGATAAACAAGTCGCGTATTGGGCGACGAGAAGAAAACCGGCCAGGTGTGTTGCAAGCTGCATGGCTAAAGTGTTGATTGAAAGTGCTCAGGATTGTTTAGGTTGACAATTGGCAAGACAAAAGATTTTACAAGGCAAATCGAAGGGGAGCACGAGAACTATCTTTTTTTCTTTTCTTTTTCTTTCAGGCGTTAAAATTGTTTCTGGTCATCAGGGAGTATCATACGAGGCCCTTTTGAAAATTTAACGTTCCTTCTCGTCATAGTTTCCGATGCAATGCGAGGTGCTGTTGGCTTGGCAGCATAACTACAACAACCTGGCCCTGTAATGTCACCTTGCCCATGTTGTCACGAACCAACATCCAATGTCGGCTAATAACAGCCTTGCGCGATTTTGTGCACAATCCAGGCAGGAACTCACCTTGAGACTGAAGTCACTTTTTTGAAAACTACGTTCCTTAGCCGTGGTATGATGAATGGATAGGAGCATGATTGATAAGTAGAAAATAAGAGACACATGTCCCGTCTTAAGCCATGCAATATTATCTTACGACCTTTTTGATCAGCTTATACTGTTGATTATGGTCTCGGAATAGAGATTAAAATGTTTCTTCTCTTTGCTAGTCCAGGCTTGCTGTTGCCGCTTTCACTATCATTGGTTCAAGCACAAGTATCCGTCGTCAACGGTGTCTCTGTCTATCAAGGGACTACAGTTTCGCAGAATCAACATGGAATACCTACCTTGGCATACAATTGCGCCAAGGTGCCAGCATTATGCGAAAATGTTCACCAACAATACCCTCTAGCAACCACCCTTCATGCAGCACCTGCCGGAGCTGTCACAGGCCATCATACTATCCTGGGCGCCAGGTCACATCTGCAGTTGCATTTTGATAGGGACGATAACAGTGGTGGGCGAAGAGGCAAGGCTTGTGCAAAAAACTGGAAAAACCACCACAACTGTCCAGAGTCCAATCAGCCAGAGTAAGTCCTTCTTCAAGCCACGAGTGAGAATAAGTTTCATTAATCATTAATAGCACTGTCCCTGCTCGAGCTATGCTGGGAGACGGCTCTTTTCCGGCTGCCAGATGGAACCCGAATAATCTCGTCATGGGCGACGCAGGTTACAACAGAATCGCCAATGCAGCAGGCCAGTTTTCCGGTATGATGTGGACTTGCGATGAGTTTCCCTTCGCCACGTACGAGACCCCCTACCAAAACCCATACCATGAGTCTGAAACTGAAACATTCGCCTCTGCAGTTCTGTTGAAGGAGGTGCCGGAGCGAGAACATACTGCACCCCACAGAACGCAGCATGTGGTTCGTTGACAGGCTTGATTCCTGGCACGGTCTTTGTCTCATCTAAGCAGGACTTCCAGAGTAATGCTTTGTCTGCTTTGAGAGAAGCCGTACTACACAAACCTGCGCCGCCAGCCACGAAAGCAACCACCAAGGGCATCTGGAGATATCGTTTCACAACGCAATTTCAGCCGGACACAGAGCTTGCCGCTGTGTCTGTCGAGTGGTATGACGACGCTAGTGAATGGTTTTCCGGATATCAAAAACGTTCAATCGAGGGACGTGATATTGAGGAGAGCATCGTCCGAATTATTCATTCGTTTTACAACAACGGCACGGTGGAAGTGAGACATGAGCCCGTGTTCAAAGATGAGGTAAGGATGAAACCGCTGTGTGATATAGTTATGGGAGATGGCTGATGATTCGATTTTATAGTACAAGATTCTGCGCAGGTCATGGGATCGACATCTTGTGGGCAACGGCTCAGCAGTGGACCTTCAGCAAGGTAACCTGAAGCGGTCGATGGGACAGATGCAGAGCCGTGACAACGACAACGGTACCGTGGGACTCAGCGCCGACTGGCTGAATGCTTCAGGGAACGGCACCAACCCGGCTCGTCAAGCATACGAGGATCTGCCTGAGGGTCCACCATTGCCGATTCTTGAAATTGCTCAAGATTTTGTGGAAGAACAGAAGGAAGACAAGCCGGCTGAAGAGCCGTATATCGTGCGCGCTGTCAAGGCGAGTGACGGGAACGAAAGCTCTACTGTAGAAATCGAAGACAGCAAGGCACTGACTCCGAGGGCTGCAGACACGTCTGGATGGATGCACCGTCGCCAATCGAAGCGGCAGTGCGACTTTGTGACGCCCTGTCCTGATGGCAGCTGCTGCAACAGGAAGGGACAATGCGGCTACGGAGAAGAAGTCTGCGGCTCCAAGGTCTGCGTTTCCAACTGCGATGCCACGGCCGCTTGCGGTAAAGACAGTCTCGGCGGCAAGGTCAAGTGTCCACTCAACGTATGCTGCAGTGCTTATGGCTACTGTGGCGTTGAGGACGGCTTCTGTCGAGCTGGCAACGCAGACAATTCTTGCCAGAAGGGCTTTGGGAGTTGCACCAAGATCGAGCCGCCATCTTGTAGCGGACGCTCAGCCTTCGCGAGGAGCATTGGCTACTACCAGTTTGCCAATGTGCGCGAACGGCAGTGCAACCGCATCACGCCCAAGCAAATCCGCACTGAAGGGTTCATCCACTTGTACGGCGCGTTTGCTACTATCGATCCAGACACGTTTGCTGTCAAGCCGTGGCACGAAGACGACGTGAAGCTCTACAAGGAGTTTACGGGTCTAAGGAAGAAGGGACTCGAGACTTGGATAGCCATCGGGGGCTGGACTTTCAACGACCCTGGACCAACGAGGACTACCTTTAGCGACTTGTCTGCCAGCCCTGCGCGTAGGGCACGGTTTATCAAGTCCTTAACCAGTTTCTTCGATGAACATGGCTTTCAGGGCGTGGATCTTGACTGGGAGTAGTAAGTTATACTTTTTTTCTGTCAATCGACTCATGAGCCACCTGCTAACTAGATCGCCAAAGCCCGGGAGCCCCTGATCGAGGTGGCCACAAGGAGGATACAGACAACTACGTGTCACTCCTCAAGGACATGCGCGCTGCATTCGGGTCCAAGTATGGAATCAGTATCGCTATCCCCACGAGCTACTGGTACTTACGATGGTTCAAGTCGAAGGAGATAGAGCAATACGTTGACTACATGGGAATCATGGCATATGATCTTCATGGGCCGTGGGATGAGGATGTCAAGCAGGTTGGACGCGTCATCCTGGGCCACACAAACATCCCCGAGATTGCAACTGGTCACTGCCACTATACTACGCCGGCGTCGACCCTGCAAAGGTCAACATAGGTCTTGCTTACTATGCTCGTGGCTATACCGTCGCTGATTCGAACTGCAATGGTGTCGGGTGCAAATGGTCGGGCACCAGTCGACCGGCTCCCTGCACCAACTTTGGCGGTGTCATGTCCCTCGAGGAGATTGAGAGGATGGTCAAGGATGAGCCTGGCTTTAGTCCAAAGCTTCTCCCCAAAGACATGATGATGGAGCTCAAGTTTGGCAACCAGTGGATCGGATACGATAACGAAGACACCATTTATATGAAGAAGAAGTGGGGAAGTAGCCGCTGTTTCGGCGGTACAATGGTGTGGAGCGTCGATATGTTTTCAGGTTCTGGAAGCGGAGATACGCCGGACGATCAAAGCGACCGAGGCTCAGAGGATCCCGGTGGTGGTCAAGGCGATGGCTCGGGTGTTATCTACATCGACCCGGAGATCTGGGAAGAGGATCAGCCCGAGGTGAAGTGCCATCCGCCATGCACTATGGTCTTACCGCCGTCGTCCCTTAAGAAGCCCGTGACACTGACACTCCCGCCCTACGAGACCTCGCTGGATGTAGCTTGGAGCGGCAAGGATGGTTGGCACGGTACTGTTCAGAAAACGACACTGACGCCTCCTGTTGTCACTGTCACCACCGTCGACGTCTGGCACATAACGATCCGGGAGGATCGGACTAAGCTTACCACCATCTGGTCAACATTCGATGTCACTCCAAGCATCAAGGTTCCAACCTTTATTATCACGAACAGACTTCCTGAGACTACCAAGGACAGTGTGACCCAGCCTCCGGGCACCAGGACCATCACTCCCCCACCATACCCTTGGACTTACACACCACCAACGACTAGACCGTCAAATACACCCGGCGACGACGATGATGATGATGACGATGTTATACCGCCATTCCCAGTTGTGACCTGGCGTCCAGGAAAGCCTGGTCTTATATGCAAGAAGAACTGCGGCAAGCCGTGTCGGGTCTTCTGCTCTCATCCCTGTCTTCTCAACTGCCCAGACGGTGGTGGAGACTTCGGAGACCCTCGCAATCCAAAACCCCCGAAACGGCCAGTACCACCAAACCCGACCATCCCGAAGCCTACAGGGAAGCCGGTCAAGCCTACCAAGATACCGACGCTAGGTACCACCCCCGAAAACAAGGAGCATGAAGACGACGAGCGACAGTGTGCGATTGAGTTCGGTCTCCCGCTTCCAACCTGGCGAGACCCAGCCACCACCACGAGCGTCAAGCCCAAACCCACGCCGCCCAAGCCCTCCCCGAAACCAGACCCGAAGCCGCCTTCTCCGAACCCCAAGACGGAGGAGGTGAAATGCTACGGCATCGGCGGTGCTTGGATCCACCGAGCTCCAGCCATCGAAGCGCTCGAGTATTTCTGCGATAGAGATGAAGGTCAGGTGTTAGATGCGACCAAACCCGAGACCGAGCGTACCCTAGAGTGTCAACACGGGGTGGTCTGCACAGGAGATGGTTTCGGGTGTGTTGTCGATGAGCAGCAATTGTGCGGATTGGAAGTTTGATCCTAACTACCGTGGCTGGTGGTCCAAGAATCAATGTTCAGCGTAGCCTTGTATCGGTTATAAGATATCTCACAAATAGAACCCACAAAGGCAGCGAAGATCCGTCGTTTTGCCAAGGAATCCCAAAGTCTAGACTGATGTTAATCTGATGGTTGAATGTTGTTTTATGCAACGCCTCCCTCGAAAGCCTCTCCTTTAACACGAACCAATCAGCAATAGACAAGTCCAGACATTTATTTTCAGATTTTAACTAACCCAAAAACAAAAAAAAACTCAAGTCACTTTAAGACCTTATTAATGCATTAACAAGTTCCTTCGCGCTATTTCAGTACTTCGGACCAGTTTTAAGAAAACCTACTTTACTCTTTCTTTTAACAGTTGCCATTGGGCTAGTGGCTAATATGAGAAAATATTTAACAGATAAAGGGGTTCGCCGCAGGGACTTAGCCCTTTTAAGGAACATATACCAGCTAAGGAATAATTACTAGGATTAGGCTTAGTTCCTATATATAGAGGCTGCCCACTTTAGTATTCCTTTTACTTATATAATTAACTATTACCTTTATTTACTATTGCCCTAGCTACTATTATTAGGGACTATTTTAGTAAAAGGGAAAACCCTAGTTAGGTCTAGAGGTACCCTAGGTAGTATAATATAGTTAGGAAATAATATAGTATTAATAAATATATAATAGGTATTAGGTAAAAAGGGTTTTTAATAAAAGGGTTAATTATAATTAAATAAAAATTAATAAAATATAATAAGTAAGAAGTTTAAATTAATAAATAAAGAAAGAAAAAAAAAGGTAAAATAAAGTAAAGTAAATAAATAAATAATAACTAATTATAAAAATATAAATTAAGGCTTTTTATTTTTTTTAAATTAATAAAAATATATTATTTTATAATAATACTTATTATAGGCCTTAATAGCTTTTCTTATAATATTAATTATTAAGATATAATTTAGTATTTTTATAAAATATACTTAGTTTTTAAATAAATAAGCTAGAGGAGTTACTTATAATTTAAGCTATATTAAATAAAAGGTAATAAATTATATTTAATAATTAAGTAATTTTTAAGTTATAAATTATACTTAATTAATATATTATAATAATAAAGAGCTAATAAAAAAAGGCTATATTAACTTATTAAAGGCCTTATTATATATAAAGGCTATATTTATATTTATATAAAAGTCTAATAAATTTTTTTTTAAGTTTATAAGTTAGGCTTAAAAGGTATATTTAAGTATCTCTAAAGTTTAATATAATTTAAATATTTATTACCCCTATAGCTAGTAAAGCTTTATTAAGTTAAATTATTATAATTAGCTACCTTAATTACAGCCTAAACCTAGCTATATATATGCCAGCTAAAAAGCCCTGCTTATTAGCTGGCCCTAACCTTCTTCCTTTAACCCACTTCAAAGGCACGCTTTAATTATCTATTATATAGTAAGTCATCCGACCTGACTTTCCCTCTTCTAGCCGCAACTACTAATAGCATTACAGCTGCCCTATTACAATACCTGCTATTTAAAGAAGCCTATAGGCACCTAGGCCTAATAAGCCTTATCTAACTAAAGGCTATAATATAATCCCTAAGATTAAAAAAGCTTTTAGGTAAAATAAAGGTAAAAGTAATATATTATATATAATAGCTATAAATATTAAAAAGGCCTAATTAAATAAAGATAATACTAGCTATATTAAGATAATAATCTTTAATTATAAGATCTTTTTATTTATATAATTTATTTATAAAAACCCTTTAATTAATAAAGACTTTTTTAAATATAAGAAGTAAAAGCTTAAGGATTTAAAAAGGAAGCTATATAAAGGGATATAGTTAAGCAAGAAGGAAAGGGGGTTTTTTAAAGCCCTTAACCTAGGCAGCTTATATAATAAGTAGCTTAAGGATATCTAGTAGTAGGTTAAGGAGGTATTAAAGAAGATTAAGAACCTGTAAAGATTAGGCTAGTTATAGTCTTAAACTATAAGAGCGCGAAAATAGGGGGATATTATATTGCAATATCTAGGATAAAAGCAGGGTAATTATAAGGTTTAGGAAAATAGAAAAAATATATTAAGTTTTATATAGGTTTAGTTACTTAAAATTAAAGACCTAAAGTTATAAATTTGGCATTAATAGCAAAAAGAGAATTAAATAAGTTATAATAATATATATAATAAGCATGCTAATTAGATAAGTATATTAATTAAAAATCCCTTAACCTTATATCTAACTATTTAATTAATTAATTCTTAACTAAATAATATATCTTAACTTAATAAAAAGGCTTAAATCCTTCTTATACTTTAGGCCTATTAGGCAGACTTAAAATAAAGTCTATAATAAGCTATTAAGATTTATAATATAAACTTCTTAACCCTTTATGCCTAATATAATAATATCTTTATATATTATAATTAAGTTTTAAAGTTATAAAAATTAAATAATTTAGAAAATAGGTTATAATTTAGTATATGCTTAACGTAAATTTATAAGGATTTCCTTTTTATTATTATGGTATTAAAGAAATAGTAAATTAACTACTTATTAATTATAATATATTACTAATTAGTAAGTATTAGATTATTAATTTTATTAAGTAATAATTAGATTTTAAAATATATTTTTAAAAAAATATAATTATTAAAGGGTTAAATATAAAGATTTAATTATTATTTATAATTAATTTAAGCTTATATAAAATATAATTATAAAATATAATATTTAATTAAATAATATTTAAAACTTTAATAAGATTAGCTTTATAATAAATATAATATTAAGTAATATATTTATTACTAGGTTAAAAAGACATAAAAGGCTAAAATTAATTTAACTTAAAAACCAGGAATAAGTTATAGTAATTTAAGTGATTAATATAAAGGATTAGACAATTAATTAATTTATTATAATTATAGGCTAATATTACCTTATTAATTAATATTTAAAAAGTAACCTCTTAATTACTTAAGTTAGTATTATAACTTAAAATAACTAAATAAATAATAAAATAAGCCTTAAATAGCTAAAGTTTTTTAATTAATATATAACTAACTGATTAATTAATTTTTATTATGTTTTAATCCTTAATAACTATAAAAGTTATTATTTAATTAATTTTTAAATATATTATAGAGAAAATTATATTATTATATTTTATATATTATCTTATTTATTTTTACCTATTTTAGCCTCTTAATATTAAGTATTTTAAGCTATTAAAAAACAGCATATAATTAAGAAATAAAGTAGTTAATTAAAAGGTTTATAACTTATATTTTTAAAATTAAGTTCTTCTTAGCCTTTTATATTATATTTTAAGTTATTATAGTAAAGGAAAATATTAAGAGAGGTTTTAAAAAAGTTAAACTTATTTCTTTTAACTTAAAATATATAATTTTAAAGCTTAATATATTATTATAAATTCTAATACTTATTAAAGAGGGGGCTTAATAAGCTTAATTTTAAGCTTTAAGAATTTTAAAAATAACTCTTAAGGCTAAATCTTAATTTAAATACCTTTAAAAATAAATTAAAAGATATTATAATAGCTCTTTAAGGTTAATTCTTAAAGCTTTTTAATCTTTTACTAAGGCAATAAAGAGAAATATATATAAAATTGCCTTATTAAAAGCTAAAACCTAAGAGCTTTAATAAGTAAATAAAATACTTAATTAATATTATAAGGTAAAAAGGACCTATTTATAAAATATAAAAAATATAATTATATAAGGAGGTTAGGATTTAATTAATTAAATAGATATAAATATATAAGTAATAGCTAAATTATTTATAAATAGTAATTAAGGAAGTTTAATATAAATAAGGGTTTAATAATATAGAACTTATAATAAGACTAGATATAATATAAGAACCTATTAAGAAGGAATTAAGGCCTTTAGAGATAAGTATAGTAATTAGAATTAATTAATTAAATAGTTTATAGTATTTCTATTGTAATTTATTTAGAAAAGGTTGAGATTTTTAATTAGTATGCTTGTCTAATTGGCATGCTTATTGTGTATGTTATACTTATAGTATTATTCTTATTATAACTAATATTACTCCCTAAGGACTAGATATTAAAAACATTAGGTAAATTGTCTATTACTATATTCCTCGTACGGCCAATAACTATATCTACCGTTCTGGTCGCACAGCCCATTGTAAGAGCAGCAGTGTTAGCATCCTCCTCTGTGCACCTAACGAAGTTATCCCCACTAGCCACTTAGCCGCAAAAGTTCACGCCCAGCGATCTAACGGCAGCTCATAGACCATTTCATCTAAAACCTACCACTGAACCGCACTATTCTCACGATTTCAAAACCCTGTGTGGACCTAGCCAAGAAGCTAGCTGATACTGTCTTTGCGAAAGAAAAGAACCACAGAGATAACGCCTGGCTTCGCAACGCAGCAGAGGATCTCGGTGTAGAGCATTATCCTAAGGAGTTCGAGAGCGCCTAGGCAATCTTCCTGTTACCGGCAGGAAAGGTTGGCACATTTTGACCTCTTTTAGGGTGGCCCAAAGGGTCCCCTGCAACGACCAGGCCCGAGGGAAACAAGTACTTCCGTTCCAGAAGATCTAGCCAATTAGGGGCATAGTACTCAATCTGAATGGCTAAGTAAACGTGGAGATGGGGTTATAGTAGGCCGGCTATAGGCTTCTCTGGGCACTCTGGTGCAAGCGGTACGTTTTATATATAGCCGGGAATATCTTGGACAGACCAGGGATGCGGACTCGCGAACACGAAAAATCATCTTGTCAGATGGATGTAACTGCTCATCCGGGCGGACAACAGAGGGTGCCAGATGGGAGGGAGATTTGGGAGGAGGAGGACCTTTAGATCGGCTTGGCATGCCTCTGTTCCGAACCCATGCATGGCTTTGCCTACTTCTTTTGGCTGATGACCTCTTGTCAGTGAATTAGATCAGGTCTTATCTATAAGCGCATCTCCTAGATCTTCGCATAACTGTAGCTTTCA